TGTTCCAGTGTGCAATAAAATCACCCAATTTTGAATATTTGAATGTAAAAAATGACAAGTTATAAAAAATATTCTAAGATCTGCTAAACAATATAAATTTGAAAAATCTAGTTGCAACTCAGTGTTCATGCAAAGAGAAAAATTAAAGTTCTTTGTCTGCTCAAGCATAAGTCAGATGAGTAAACTAAATTCTTCTCTGGTACAGAAAGCTGAAACAAACCACTACTCTTCAAGCTTTTCTCATAGCTACTCCTTAATAATCAACCCTTCAATCCCAAACAAATAAATACCAATTTCAAAGAAATATACAAAGAAACACACGTTTACTTTGCCTAGTTTCACATTAAGATTTTATAAAATTATTTGTATTTCTTTCTTGATGTATGTGACTTTAGGTAATCATCCCAAATTAACACTAAACAAGAACACAAATTAGCCATCCTATAACAACAAATTGATGATTTTTTTTCAAAACAACATTAAAAATAACAGATAATGTTGTTGGTGTAAACTGTCTGTCACTTAAAACAACTTCCCCTTTTCTACACTATCACACTCTTGTCATCCACAGACTAAACAGTAACATCAGAGAACCTTAAAAGGTCTTTCTTAAAACATGTATTAAGACAAGCACAAATAGCTTTGGTTCTGCTGTTTAATAGTGGTCTACACACAAGCGGGACTCCAAATGCTACACATGCTGTTGAAGACATTTTTTCATTTGCAACCGTTGAATGAGGACTGCATCAATCTATCAGTTAAATGTAAAGATAAAATACCTCCTGGTCTCAGATTTTGAGAAATTACTGCGACTACTTACTGATACCTTTTCTTCAGTTGGTGTCATCTCCTGGTGAGGGAAAATGTAATTTCTCAGTTGGTATAAACTGTATTTATTTCTGTAGGTGGCAGAAATCAAAATCCCCAATGCAACAAGTATGCAGACATACCAGTCATTCCAGCCAAAAAAGAAAGAGGTAGATAGGCAAGTGCTTAAGTAACTAAATTAACTACTGTGATCCAATATCAGAACCGGGCTTTACAAAGAAGCTGTGTTCACCTCATGAGAAAGCTTAATACCAGAGTACTCAACAGCTCTTGGGGTATTTTTAAAGCAACCACAGTACCTGGCTGGCTTAAAAGACTTTTAAGGTATTGCAGAGATTTTCGCTTCCGTATGCTTGGTCACAAGTACTGACGGGCTTTTTGATGGTCTAGACAGACCCAAGGTATAAAAGCTAGGTATAATCAGACAACCTGCGAGGAGAGGACAGTAGTTGACTGGACATAGGCACCTAATGATGAGTGAAGGACCTGACTCTAGGGACTCTGATAGAGCTTTTCACGCTTTATAAAGCCTGAATTACTCAGCAAACAAAACTCATGCTATGGAAAAAATGGTAAACAATGTGAATGGCCAGTAAATGGGCAGGACCAGCCTCAGCTATGCCTTCTCCAGTTTGATGAGAAATAGTAACTTAATGGGGGAAAAAACCAAAAAAAGGCTAGAATCCCACTGTGCGGAAATGTTGTCTAATATCACACATTGGGCAACAACCTGCTATTTGTAACACGACTAAGATTCAGAGGAAGATTAGAAAGACAGAAACTTCATTCTTTCAGTGCTGTATTTTCCCTACCTTCAACCTTTCCATTTCACTCAGTCTTAGTCACTGATTGTTCCAGGCAAACCCTTAAATGGATAATAATATTTTCAAAGCCACAATGAGAAAGATCAGAGCGGATGAACAGCCTGCAAATACGATGAATAAGGGAACTCAGACCCAACCACCTCTATAGCAGGCTGCCCAGATTAGTACTAACTGGAGCATCAGAAACAACTTGCTGGTGGAAAAGCACGGGTTGCTGGTCCTGGTGGGGGGCCCCGGCCCAGTGGATCCCCCCAGCCAGCCTGGTGCTGGCTAGCAGCGATAACAAACACTTGCTTTGCTGTTGGGGGTATTCCCAAGTAAGGAGACTTTGCCCTCTTCGATGCGTACCTGCCCTGTGCTGCTTGGTGTTCTGCAGACTGGGAATTTTTACAGTTGGCTGCTGATTTCACAGTGATTTTAACCCTCTGGGTCATTTGGGTGACCGCAGGGGAGCGAACAGTGCTTAAGCAAGTCCGCCCAGGCTGCGCACATGTCTGCGGCACAGGTCTCCCGAGACCAAGAGCAGAGCCAGCAAGGCTGGCTTGGTGAGCAGCTCGCACCAGCCCCCAGCCTCTGCATCTGCCCTGCCTGTCCACAGGGCTGACTTTGATGCCCAGGATGGCACCACTGATGTCAGGGGCTATCAAGAGCTACTTTAAAGCTAAGCACTACTACAACTAATGGGACAGCAGTGTAAATCAGCATTCACAGTCGATCACAGCCACAACGCGGGACCGCGTTTTGTAGGATTCTGAAGTGCGAAGCATTTGAAGTAACATGCAGTCAAAATAAACTACACTACAAAAATGAGAGGAGAACTGTATCAAGAACATCAAAATGCAGTGGCAAATACCTGCCCGGCCAGCAGCATGCGGGCTGTCCACCTGACCTGGGGAAGCCAGCAGTGACGGGAAGGTGCCTTGCATCTACCTCAGCAGGGTAAAAACTTCCAGCCTGGGCCGATCGTCTTGGACGGGAATCAAACTTAGGAAATATCCTCACCACCAAAATTTCGGTGAAGGAGAACTTTTGTGTATTCTTCTCCATTCCTTTGCAAGGATTCATAAGCAAATGGCCCTTGGAAAAATACACTCAAAAGGAGCTCTGGCTGAAATCCATGGACCTTAATTCATTTGCCTGGCTGGGTGATCGGACTTATCAAAACACAGCATTGATGAACTCTTATAAAAGCAGGAAGGGAGGGAGAAGCTTTCGGGCCACATCCTGCTCCTCTCCTCCGGCACGGTTTTGGGGAGATGCTGCCCGAGCCAGGTTTATTTGTTCTGGTGACGGGGCTGAGCCTCTCCCATGTGAAATTTCACTCTTCAATGAAAACTTACTCCGGGAGGAGACACCACCAGTATATTTCTCGTGTGACTCATACGCAGAAAACCGAAAAGTCAATAGTCGAGAGTTTATTTGATGGAGGTTTTCTCCTAATTAAGAGGTCATTAAGGGGATCCGACCGTTACTCAGCGCCGAGACGAAGGTCCCCAGCAGCCGCTCCAGCCCGGGAGATGTGCCGGCCAGCACAATTTCCAGAAACATGTTTCCTCTCTCGCTAGCGGCCCCTTCCCCCTCCCCGCCACCCCGTTTCTAGTCTCTCCAGCGCTGATGAGCTAATAGCATTCTTCCTTTGCATACTTTGGCGCTGCCCCACGGCATGCTCTGGCAGCCTACGTGTGTCTGAGCGCGACCGCCCGCCCGCCGCAGGCTCGGCACGGCTCCGGGGGGGGGAGGCGAAG